TCCATCACCTGTGAAAGGATTAGCTAGCAGTTTTTCTATCATACCCGAAGGAATTTCAAAGTAAACATTTTCAGTAGGTTCAGTAGGTTGAGGAGCAACTCTTTGCTCTACTGGTCGGGGTGAAGATACCATGAACAAGCCCCTCAAAGGATTATGTTCCATAGTAACAAGTGGCAGTAAATTTCAGCACACTATATAAATTTTTCCTTACCAAATTCCACCTACCAAAGACGCTTCACTCCCGGGAAATGGCGTCAGAAAAGAGTCTTGATGACCCACAAGTGTAGGGGATCTATCATAGCCTATTCGATAAGTAAGAGTGCTGAACCCAACGAGGAGCAGAAGGAAATGATAAGCAGTTTTCAGCAAGGTATTTTCTGCAAGCACTGAAATTATTGATAACATATAGTTTTGTGATAAGGTAATTTGTAACGGGTAACAAGTAATAAAAGTAAATAAGGTGCAGCAAGATGGCTCAATCCTTTTTGTAGCAAAGGACAAGCCTGGATAAAATCTTATATAAAGGAAAGCTCTCCCGAGGACACATGGGAATTACGTCAAGCTAGTTTTCATCACGCTCATATGATTCGCGTTCGGTACTTTGATAATTTGATATGTGGGTAGACCGATGCTTGGGTACTGCCCTTCCTTGGACAAGCATCCCACTTATGATTAACCCCTATTGCAAGCATCCGCAACTACAATAGAAGTATCAAGGTAAACCTAATCATAGCATGAAACATATGGATCAAAATCAGCCCCTTACGAAGCAACGCATAAACTAGGGTTTAAGCTTCTGTCACTCTAACAACCCATCATCTACTTATTACTTCCCAATGTCTTCCTCTAGGCCTAAACAATGGTGAAGTGTCACGTAGTCAACGTTCACATGACACCACTAGAGTAGAGACAACATACATCTCATCAAAATATCTAAAGAATACCAAATTCACATGACTACTTATAGAAAGACTTCTCCCATGTCCTCAGAAACAAATGTAACTACTCACAAATCTATTCATGTTCATAATCATAGGGATATTAATATGCATAATGGATCTGAACATATAATCTTCCACCGAATAAATTAACTAGCATCAACTACAAGGAGTAATCAACACTACTAGCAACCCACAGGTATCAATCTGAGGCTTTGGGACAAAGATTGGATACAAGAGATGAACTAGGGTTTGAGATGAGATGGTGCTGGTGAGGATGTTGATGGACATTGACCCCCTCCCGATGAGAGGATCGTTCGTGATGACGATGGTGATGATTTCCCCCTCCCGGAGGGAAGTTTCCCCGGCAGAACAGCTCCGCCGGAGCCCTAGATTGGTTCTGCCACGGTTCCGCCTCATGGCGGCGGAGTTTCATCCCGTGAGATAGCTTATGATTTTTTTCCTTGATGAAAGACTCCATATAGCCAAAGATGGGCATCAGTGGGTTGCCAGGGGGGCCACGAGGCTGGGGGCGCGTCCAGGGGGTAGGGCGCGCCCCCACCCTCGTGGACGGTGGCTGGGCCCCCTCTGGTACTTCTTTTGCCCAATATTTTTTATATATTCTGAAACATGCTCCCATGAAGTTTCAGGACATTTGGAGTTGTGTAGAATAGGTCTCTAATATTTGCTCCTTTTCCAGCCCAGAATTCCAGCTCCCGACATTCTCCCTCTTCATGTAAACCTTGTAAAATAAGAGAGAATAGGCATAAGTATTGTGACATAATGTGTAATAACAGCCCATAATGCAATAAATATCGATATAAAACCATGATGCAAATGTACGTATCAAGGGTGTGGCATGAAGCTTTGCTGTCTTGCCGATGCCATGGGACATGTCTAAGTATAGATTTCCACGGCATTGACAGTGGTGAAGAAAGTCATGGTGGCTGCAATGGGAGACGTGTAATGGTGGAGAGGAGTTTTGGTTGCGTTGAAGAATGGCGGCACGGGTTCCTGTGTGTCAGGTGTTGAGGACTTACAGCGGCGGCCTTGGCAGGAGGGGGCAGCAACACAGGTGGACAACATTTTTTGGGGTGCTTCTCGAGTACCGAGCCGCGATCTCCAGGATGAAAGCCCAAGGTCTGCCCTTCATTGGTTATACCTGACAGTGGTCTTGCGAAGGCATTGTTTTTGGGATCCCGGACTCTCTCCAAGGTGAAAACTCAAGATCCTTGGTCGGACGATGACAATGCTTGAGCATTGTTTCCTTTTTGGAGGCGTCGTTTTTGGAGAACCTCTTCTGTTGTCTGGGTGTTGTCTTCGGTGGTGGTTAAAGTGCTGTTGTTGCGAGTTTTTCATCACTGTAACGGGGTCTTTGTTTTTATATTTCTTTTTTTAATTTTGTTTTGGCTGTGTGCATCCTTGATATCTTCTGATATCTTGTTGATGCAGAGGCCGGTTGTAATTGGTTTCTTCGTGATATTAATATATTCCCTTTATCAAAACAAAAATCATAGTTTTGTGAGAAAAATTTCCTCATGTTCTTTTGGCGGTCCCATGAGTTTAAAGAGTTTTCTGTCATCGCAGATCCAATTATTCTAATCTAATGAGTTTATGTTGTTTTTGTTGGTCTGATTCTTTGTGGATGTGAAATCATTCGTCGACACCATGGTGAAGATGTAGTGATTTGACGACCTGTACTTCTAGGGGATCATCCTCGGCCCAAGTACATTCATCGATCAAGGATTCCCATCTTTTTGGGTGAGCGACGCAAGGCCCTTTCAAAAACTTGTATTCATAATGTTTGTGCGGGTGAAAGAGTGACAACGACGTTGCTCCAGTTCAATTGCAGCCTCTTTACCGAAGTCTTTGGAGTATTTCTTCAAGCAGAGATTGACACTGTGAATAAAGTGTTTTCAAGAGATTTCATTGTAGTTCTTAGTCATAAGAGTTACTTTGTGTTTTCTTAAATTTCAGATCCAAATCAGTGTACATGTAATTGTTATGAGTATGAATAAAGTTACCGGGATTTTCTTAAATAAATGTATTTGAGAACTTTGATTCGATTCAGGTTTTTTAAGGTGAAGGAAAGGAAATTTTCAATTTAGATGTTACTTTGGGAAGATTTGATTGAGTTAACGCAGGACATTGTTTTTAGGAAAATGTTGATTTGGGTTATATTATTTTAAGTTGCTTTGGTTTTAATTTTGTCCTTTTTCAATTGAGAGTATCGGAAAATCTCAAAAAAAAAAAAAACAAAGATGAAGAGGGCCATGGGAAGGAAAAACCGCTGGAGTAAGTCTTTTTAGAGATTCCAATATAAACTAGTACATGCGGAGCAAAAAAATGAATTTTACACTCTAAAATATGTCCACATACATCTGTATATAGTCCATATGAAATTTTTTCAAAAGACTTATATTTAGAAACGAAGAGAGTAGTTATTATTTTTATGATTAAAATACCAGCGAATATACTGATGAACCAGCGGTCGAACCGGTGAAAACTGAGGTCTTCTTTCGTTCACAGGATAGGAATTTTATAGGAATAGAAAAATCATAGGCCTCCTTTGGTTTGGAGGATTTTTGTAGGAATTTCATAGGATAGAATTTTTGCAAGAAAAATTTCTTTAGAGCCCTTTGGTTTGTAGGAATGAAATCCTATTTTTATGGAGAAATTCTTCCTATCCTCCACATTTCATAGGAAAATAAACATTAGCATAGACTCAATGGAAAAAAATCCTATGGAGTGAATCAAAGGACATCTTCTTTCCTATTCCTACTCATAGAATTTGAGATGTATGTCATCTCATTTCCTATGACTTTTCCATTTCTATGATTTCCCTACCCTATGAACCAAAGGAGGCAGTGAGGCCTCTTTTGGTTCATAGGATAGGATTATCATAGGAATAGGAATCTTGTAGGAAATGAGATGACATGTATCTCAAATCCTATGAGTAGGAATAGAAAACAAGATGTCATTTGGTTGACACCAAAGGAAATTTTCCATCAAGTCTAGGCTTTTTTTTATTTTCCTATAAAATATGGAGGATAGGAACCAATCCTATGTAGAAATAGGAATCCGTTCCTGTGAATCAAAGGGCTTTAAAGGAAAAATCCTATAAGAATCCTATACTCTAGAATTCATATGAAATTCTTCTAAACCAAAGGAGGCCTGAGATGACATGCATATCAATTCCTATATCATTTGGTGCATAGAATATGATTTTTTCCATTGAGTCTAGCCTAATGTGTTTTCCCCTTCAAAACGTGAAGTATTGATTCCTATCCTACATAGGAATAGGAATCCATTCCTGCAAACAAAAGGACTTCAAAGGAATTTTTCTTTGCAAATCCTATTTGCAAATCTTATCCTATAGAATTCCTACGAACAAATTCCTATACAAACCAAAGGAGCAAATCATATCCTATAGAATTCCTACAGACGAATTCCTATACAAACCAAAGGAGGCCTGAACCAGCAGTGACAGCGGTCCGGTTTTTTAAGCTATGGGCGTGTGGTATGTCTGCGCTGAACAAGAGCAAAGCCCCGACTCTCCTCGTGTTCCGCACTCTGCACTCCATGGTCCATCCATGCACACGCTCATCACGCCACGCGCCCGATCGCCAGATCGGGGTCCTGCCTCGTGGCCTGGCCCCTGCGTGCGCTCTGAACGTGGGTGGTTGGCTGGCAGCCCTGTCGTCGCCATGAACCTGTTCCACAGCTGCAACGCCATTGCCCAGCTCCCGCTACAGCAAGCACTCGTACTGCACGCACGGTGTAGTTGGCAGAGGCGCGTAATCAATTCAGCAGATCTCGCGCCACCAAATGTGCTGACAAAGAATTAAGGGCCGAACTACCAACAAATTTCAAGCCAAAAACCGGATAAACAGATGCGCCATGAACATTCAACACCAAGATCCAACATTCAACATCATCAACGACGCCAAGAATTCCAAGCTTCCTCTCTAAAAAGTTGTTTATTCCATCATCGCGATTTTATTCTATTCTCGCCGCAGCTAAGCAAGCAAGCAAATCGAACCCACGGCGGCGCCGGCAGCCTCAGACGCCGGGCGGGAGGGGGATGGAGGCGACGGTCTTGGCCCAGGCGGGGCGGGCGGAGATCTCCTCCCACCAGGCCTTGACGTGCGGGCGGGAGGCCACCAGGCCCGCCTTGGGGCTCTTGGTGAGCATGAAGAGGTAGGACATGTGGTTGGCGTCGGCGAGCGTGAAGGCGTCGCCGGCCAGGTACTTGTTGCCGGCGGCGAGGTGGGCCTCGTAGACGTCGAGCAGCTTGGCGAGGTCGGCGGCGTTCTTGTCCACCTCGGCCGCGTCGGTGGGGGCGCCCAGTATGGGCTTGATGACCAGCTCGTACACCAGCGCCCGCGCCGGCGGGTAGAAGTGGTGCGACTCCACCTCCAGCCACGCCTCCAGCTTGGCCGACGGCGTCGGCAGCAGCGCCGCCCCGTACTTGGTCGCGATGTACCGGTTGATGGCGCGCGACTCTCAAGCTCTGCTCCACGCAAAACAAGAACAAAAATTCTCAAGCTCTGCTCGACTAGTTAATTGCTCGTAGACCTGCTCCTCGGAATCTTGCTTAGATTTGTTATGACCAAATCCTCGCGCTCTAATTTTTTAATCTCAGGCAAATTACAATCATATTCTACTCCTACCTTTTTCGAGAAATTTTATAAGTAGATCCTAGTCCAAGTTTGGATAGATCGGCGGAGGAGGATAAAATAAAATGTAAAGAGGCGAACAAGATACAGTTCCAGTGAGCCGTGTGTTGGCCAGTGACTCGGCGTCAGTAAATCTAAAATCCTAGTGAGACTGATTGTGCATCTACCAAACCAGATCTGGGTTAATAATCAGATGAGAATGGTTACCGAAGACAACTTCGTCCCCGTCCTGCAGCGCCGGGATCTGGCCGAAAGGCTGCAAGCAAGCAACCAGAGGAGAAACAAAATTAGCGTCTGGATCTCGGCGAGGAACTACTGGTAATCAACGACGGAGCAGGGGAGGGAGCGTACGTTGAGCTTGAGGAAGTCGGGGTGCTTGTGGGCGCCGGTGCGGAGGTCGACGTCGACGAAGTCGAAGTCGAGGCCGAGCTCGTTGAGCAGCGTGGTCACGCGGGTCACGTTGGCCGACAGCATCATCCCGTACAGCTTGATGGGCGCCATCTCTTTCTTCCTGCTCGACTCTTGCCTGCTTCTGCTTCTGCTTCGCTCTGCTTCCCCTATCTGCTATCCTGCCTCCCAATTTATATGGAGCGAGCTACGGAGGGAGCGGTGGTGAGTGCTGACCTGGGGCGCCGTCGGGGTATATATTAATAGAATCAAATTAGTTAATAGTCATATCGCCTATTATATTAATAGAACAGATTATACGGGATACACCTGCCAAAAATCCCAATACAATCCTAATCATGATTGGTGGATAAATATGGTAGGCGATAAGTATGAAAAGGAAAAAAACAAATATTTGCGTCCTGATCTACACTTTCGGGCAATAAATTAATAAAGGAGTAAAATTTTAGGGAAATGATATGTGGCGAGCGATCAGAAATCTCGCTCAACCTAGCGAACGCCCTTCTGGCACTCGAGGTTTCCCACGTCAGACGTAGCCACACATTTGCTTGCTTGGAGCAAACCCTCGCGCAAACCATTTCATCGTACGAAAGGTTATCCATCCATCTCCATCGCCACTCCATAACTCCCCGTCACTCTCTCGCCCTCTCCCTACATGTGGATTTAGATCATTTGCCAAAACCACCAAACAACACAACTATGACACATTGAGCAAAATGACCCATATGAGGCCCAACTTTTACTATCACACAACATTGTCCAGTACTACTACTACTACAATACACTAAATTGCTAACCTAATGATATTCTTTTATAGCCATGTGAACAATTGATTATTTTCTTATTTTGCTTGTATTTTTCTCTACAACTCAATAGGTTTCTATGTTCCGGTCAACAGCCGCCCATTGCCATGTCCGCTCCGTGTTCGTTCTGTGATCGTTTCCAGTAGTTTCTATATTCAATTTTGAGGTTCTGTATTCGTTTCTGCTTCCACAAAACATATGAAAACAAATGTGGTACTACCCTGTTCTATTCGATTTCGTTTCATTTTCATCCTAGTGGTAGGTGGATAGGAATGGTGTTACGGCGTCGATTGAACCGTGTATGTGTCTTGGCGCGATGGGCACACATGATGGAATAATGTGGAAGTAGCCTACTGATCTTAAAGTTCAAGGGACCGAGACACGATTCTGACTTTCTTGCCATAGTCCTATCTCGTGTTAGTTAAATATAATTACATTGTACAAGACTGAAAATAATCCTAAATAACCCCTGCAAAAAAAAGAAAACAATCCTAAATAGTACAATCCTTATCAACGACAAAGAAATACCCCAGCTCGGGCCATGGCCTTTGGGTGTGTGGCCCAATCTCTTTGTTTTGTGTTTGTGAAATGCCCAATCCCTTTGTTGCATGTAGCAACCATTGTAGCTACAGTGCACGAAGGTGTCCTGGGGCTGTCCTAAATCGCCTGTGGTCTGGCCCATTCCTGGCGGCGCCACTGATCCTAATCATAATTGGCTGATAAATACAATATGTGACATGTATGAAAGGAGTAACCAAATATTTGCGCTACTAGGCTTGCCCAACACTCCTCCGTCGCTATTCGGTTTGATAACACCCCTTGATGGTCCCTGTACATGGAGTCGGGTGTTACGTTACACATGTTTGCAAGTGCTTGCACTCTTCACTCACTCTCCATCCATACTATCTATCGACAATTTGTCAAGGTTAACGGGTCCTTCGTCGTTTTTGCCACATCCAACCACCTCTTACTCCCTACTCTTTTCTCGAATTGTCCTATTCTTTTATGCCATATTCTCGTTACTCCTATAGTCCTATTACTATTCATATTTGATCTTTGTTCAACAATTCACTTCTAGTAATAATTGTACCATTTCATTTGATCATTCGGGTTTTATGTGAAGGACCTTGAAACTAAGGGCACGGTGCAGTAGTCCATGCGACCCGGACTCTTTCCACGTTTTGCCCATGTCTTCTCCACCGCTGGTTATGATCCATGTTATTGTTGACTTGAACACACTTGTCATCACATTCTTCATCTTCTCACATCATGATGTTCAGTTCCGCGCGATAAAACAATAAAAGAGCATTTTTTAGTCATCCGTGTTCGCTTGGGCGCCCTGTTCATTTGTCTTTTTCAGCCCTTGCAAGTTGCACGTCATGTCCTTTTGAACTTGTACATTGCATCACTCCTTGAGGCCATGACATTGCAAGCCACTATGAACTCAACTCCCATGGTCACTTCTCCTAAGCTCGCTACCATAGACGACACGCCGTTCGACAACCCTATGACTTATAGCAGCCTTATGGGGGGCTATGTAGTAAATTACGTTCACACATGTCCGTACATCTCCTATGCAGTGCAACAGGTTTGCCTCCACATACATGATTCACGTTGCACCACCCATTGGTTCACGAAGTGTTTGCTACATGAAAAACACGCAACCACGGTTCTATCTACGAACCGGTGCAACATTGGTGAACTAAACACACCGAGATTGACTCGGCACTTAGATGCCAACCACGGGCACATACAGACTCCTTCAACGAGTGATGCAATGTCCCTCACCTCCTCCATCAAGGGCGTACTAAAAACAGAAAATAGCCTGTATAAAGAAAATAGAAAATAGAAAACAAATTAATGGCCCCGCAGGCAAGCCATCGTGAGTGGTTGGC